CATCATCATCATCATCATCATCATCATCATCCTTCTCACAGTACAATGCCTCTGCTTCGCTGGGATTTGATATGCGCGGGTGTCCTGAATGGTCAATTGTTTGAATCTAATGCGTGCAGTACGTACTCATTGAACTAACTAACTATTAAAATTCGTAAAAAAATACATAGAATGCAACTTATTAATCGCTCATACATTTCAGCTCTGGTTCTCCCACGTGTGCTGTATTTTTCACGCGAGACGGAATAACTGCTAGCGTGAAACCGTTTGAATTGGCCTGGCACGACCTTGACTTTCGCTTTCGTCTGCTAGTCGAGCACGTGGCTTCGTTTGACAGTTCTGTTCCTTTGTCTCGATAGGTGGCGACCCTGCTTCGTCGAGATGTCGACGAGCATTCTCAACCTCACAGTTACACTTCTGTCGAAGATGGCTGTGTCTACATAACACAGTACATAATGGTAATTACGGATTAATTTCGGAATTGTTTGTTTATCAAAATTATGGTGTCGCAATCGTGTCTCGTAGTGATCGTACGAGTCTTCCAGATTTAACGTGTCCTTTTTCGAACGCAACAGTTTGCCGATCGAATCTTTATGGATAACTGTGCTCTATCACACTACGCTACCAGTGCATATTACTTGTTGCAACTTGGTTGTAACTTGTAACCGTTCCACGTGCGCATTTTAGGTTGATAACGTTTCTCTCTCGCGTTGATCTTCGGCAAGCAGATCGTTGACGCGATGGCAGATACGTTGCACAAAGATGGATATGAAATGTGTAAGTGTTTACCAGTTTTATGAGTTTAATTATTCGTTGTTATTGAACGTTCTATGTGATATAGTAACACACTTTGTATCAAGTTGTTATCAGTAATCGATGCTTGATAGTACAGGATTAGATCAATTTCCCATTTATTTTTAATTGCGTATATTGTTTGAGAAATATTAAAGAGTTACGTTTCTAATGCTATCGAATTTCTATCGTTTTGCATAAGCAGCCAGTATAGCGATGCGTGGAGGAGGTGGTAACATGGGAACCGATAGCGATATGAAGCTGGAACCATCTAGTCCTACAGAAAAGTACACATTCTCTCGTTGCAGTAGTACCGGTTCGGTAAACACTCCATCTTCGTCTGCTCATAACACGGGTGGGTATTTAAATGGATCTTGGCAACGTTTACGATAAGTTGTTACTTAAGATTTCTACAAAAGTTCTATGTTGCCACATATTTGCAGAAGACGAAGACAGCGACAACAAAAATTCGACTATAAGCTATAAGGAACGCAGGAGGGAAGCGCATACTCAAGCCGAACAGAAACGGAGAGACGCGATTAAAAAAGGATACGATTCTCTCCAGGATTTGGTTCCCACTTGTCAGCATACCGATTCGTCGGGTTACAAATTATCTAAGGCTACCGTGCTTCAAAAGTCCATCGATTATATACAGTTTCTGTTGCAACAAAAGAAGAAACAAGAGGAAGAACGTAACGCTTTAAGAAAAGAAGTTGTCGCCTTGCGTATTATGCAAACTAATTACGAACAGATCGTTAAATCGCATCAGACCCAACCAGGACACGCGGAAATGCGTATATCCGACGAAACTAAATTTCAAGTGGTAAGTTTACGATACGCGATACGTATACTTTTCGATTTTGAAATTGCTTACAATTTAAATATTATTCCAGTTCCAGGCAATTATGGATCGTTTGTTTCAAACTTTTAATAACATTTCTGTAGCAAATTTTGCAGAGTTATCAGGATGTGTGTTCAGTTGGTTGGAGGAGCATTGTAAACCTCAGGTGAATAAGTTACGCTCGTTAGAACTGCTACATAGGTTTTATTTGTGAGTTAACAAATGCGTAACAAATGTTTCAGACTTTAAGGGAAGTGGTACTGTCGGTACTCCAGCAGCTTAACAGTCAAATCAGCTAGTCGAGTATATTATAATAGAGTTCATGGTTGCACAATATAACATCTATAAAAACGATTTGCTGGTACTTAGTTCAGTAACTGGTAGAGTTACCAAAAAAGATGGGAACATGTGTGTTTTATGCAATACGGGTAGCATAATAAGTGCACAAGAAATATACATAGAAATTTATTTTATATATTAATATAGTTGTAGATATAGCCATGGACCGTGGCACAGAATTTCCTCATGCCGTTGTTGGCGATCGGACGATGTTAAATATTTTTACCAGAGATTTTTTATTACATCAATTTTGTCACATATGTGTATACATATGTGTGTATGAATGTAACCGACTATGTACATAATACGAATTAATCTGCAATATAGCAGCTTGGAATAAACGTCAGACTGTTTTGGTTTACATTCCATATTTCACAGTCATCGATTACGAGACTCAAAATTCTTCGGTATCGTTTGTTTCATTTCTAATTCGTTCTTCCGCAGTTATTGTCAATTCTTTTTGCCAAACAAATTTGACAATTTTGCGTGTTTCAATTCCTTCTCGTTAAACTTTGTCAGACTCTGTAGGCATACTTTCTCCTTGAGTAATATCATTCAAAAGTATTGCATCCATTTTGGGTCTGTTAGGGTCATCACGTTCTTGACGAGGATTCTGGACACGTCTTCTCTTTGTCCTGTCTTCCTGTCTGCAGCATAAGTCCCGAAAGATACAAGCATAACAGGCCAGCAGTGCGCTTATCATCATTAAACCTCCAATCGCGAGAACGACTACCAAAAATATTGATATTTCGTCACTCATGTTCAAACTGTCTGAAAAAGTCATCGCATCTATATCTTGGGACATACGAATGTATCAACGATAGCGTATGTATGTACTTTTATTAATTTCAATCGATTAGGAATTCTATTATTCGTCATTGTTCCGTTTCCTTAGTTTCGATATTTGTATTACATCGTGTCCTTTCGCAACGGAAACAACCAAAGCCTTTTGCACGAAGGAATAAGTTTAATTTAGAGTACTCACTGTTAAATATTTTCTGAAAAGAATGGACCGATGTAAATGTCAAAACTTAAGTCAGGATTAGAATTCGAAATGATCTGAAATTTAAGCTTTAAGAATATTTAATATAAAAAGAGAAGAATGCTTGTTACGTTGTAAATATTTTATATATTTTATGAATCGAATAAAGCCCGAGTTCATCTAATGCGAAATTGTGTGTTGTCAACGTTATCGAACAATTTCATCTATATCCGATTAATTCCTCGATAGTCTGCATATTTAGAAGCTCGAACTATTCTTTCAATCAATAACGTCATAATCTTTATTGGCAATAAAATTAAGGAAAGATACTGTTTTTTTTTTAGGAGCAATTGATTTCTCCATTTTAAACAAATCGGAGGAAAATCTTGCATTATCTAAAATCTTTGTAAGAATAGAATTAATAAAAAAAACATCGTCTTGAAATAAGTTTCAAATCATTTTCAGAATAAATCTTTCCGGGATCCGAGTATGTATATCCGAATTGTGTTAATATTCGAACCGTTCTATTATTAACCGAACGCACTCACCTGTTTGTAACGATTGTCTAGCAGTTTCGGTCATTCGACACGGATGGCACCACCAGTTCAAAATACAGATTTTTCGCAGCAAACGATTTTTGCCAGTATAGCATCCGATAGCCAAAGCGAGAAGAATCATTCGTACCTGCGGTATAACATATATTTAGTATAAAGAATTACCTCGAAGGACAATTAAAATCACAACGATGTAAACTTTTATGCAATTATTTCGCGTCTAATTATAAATACCAATTTTAATGATCTTACGACGTTGATAACAGCTATAAAACCTTTCGGGCTGTACTTTATATTTTCATACGCTTTTTCTTTAATTTTCCGAGTCGCAAATGTTTGCTTCGCTTCTAAATTTATTCAGGAACGAATAACATATTTTACGACGATGAAAACGATTATTTTCTCGGTGGAAAATACCGTGAAAGAAATTTTTATGTAAAAGCCAATGTTCCACGAGACATTAAATTCGCCCGATTGGCAGATGTTGATACGGGGACGACAAGTCGTAAAAAGACACTCGAGCTTTCAATATTTCATCGTTGAAAGGCTAGCGATAGCGGGAAAAGGGCAACGGGGCGAGAATTTTTTGTTGTCGCTTAGTAAAGCGAGCAGATAACATGTTCTCTGTCACGTTTTTTCTCGATTGTTCGCGTGCACGATGCTTTTACGAACGCGATTCCTGCCTTTTGTTTCGCCGCGATGTAAATTCAAACTGTAAAGCGATACGGACGATGGTAAATATATGGACCGTTTATTTTGAAAGTGGTGCAAGTCCACTTTCTTTCGTTTCGAGAAAATTGAAACTTAGCAAATCTGACAATTAAAAAATATAGGTTAATTATGTGAAGTCTGGGAATGTTTGTACTAATTTATCAATATGTAATTTGATTATATAAATTTCTTTTAGGCGAATTTAACTAAAATAATATACAATTTCCAGGCTGCAAATGGACTTACACCACTTTCATAATTAGCCAATTGTAAATATCATTTAATTTCAATTTTGAAATAACAAATATCACTTAAAATATATCTCATATTAATCCAATTTTGTTTATAAATAATAACAAGAAATAAAATAGGATTAGCATTTTTTATTTTGAACGTTAATTATATTTATATATTGTTAAACTTAACACAAGATATTGGTATTATTAATTATTTATGCTCTTCATGTGGCAGTGTTTTGAAATATTCATGATGCACAGGAGGTATATAAGGTAATAGCTGCTGCATATCCTTATATTTTTCGTATGTAATAGGCTTGGCATCGTGATGGAAATTGGACTTACACCACTTTCATAATCAATGGTTACGCAATTTCTTTTACCGGCCAATTTTAAACTGAACAAAGCATTGGCATTT